ACTCCTTGACTACTGACTATTCCTATTGTAGAAGTGAAACTTTTAGTTTTTTTTCTCAACATTTTTCTGTGCAGAATCTAAGCACTTGAGCGATCAAAATCTACTCATTTGACGTTTCTTATTTAAACGACACGTGTTACTCTAGGTAAAATAAGTCTAATAATTACAGCTGCCAGGGGTTTTTTTCATTGGTTTCTCAGTAAAATGATTATACATTGCAGCATACATTCTGAGGGAGTATACCTGCAACGTTGTTCTGCATTATAACCGCGTATATTTTGATTCATAACTACTTCACTTATAGTATTGATCGGTAGCTGTTTTCACCAGACGTGATTTAAAAATATGTAGCTCGAAATACTACATATTAAATGCATCGAGTTAAATGAAAAAGTTAACAGTATACGTATTTCATCTGGAAACATTATTTTAAAATCCTCATAATAACATTAATGCAGTGACCTTTTTCGCTAAGATGAGACAGATAAAAGAGGGAAAATGTCGATGATTGAGTGGTAATGCACACAGAATCATCTACGCGTGCGAAACAATCAGAAAAAAACAATGAATTGCATATGCTTTCGTATATTCTATTGACATTTATGTATTCATGAAGATACTTTCTATTTCACTATAATTGCTACTAATGAAAGAGAAAATCTAACTACATGTACAAGAGTTGATCGTTATAACTATTACAATGTTTGTTTTTTGATAATGCAAATATCAGAACACTTTCTACATATAAGGAGGAGATACTATGGAATAGGAATTTCTCTTAAACCATGACAAAACTCATATAGAACATACTTTCATCACTAATTATAGTCATATTGCCGGAAGGTTCCTTGATACATTTTAGATTGATATGTTCTGGCATGATTATGGGAGCCACTTAATTTTGGTTCCCATATTAATAGAACAAACCATGAAAATGCTACAGTCTATTTGTTTTTGATTATTTAGATAGTTATGGCTAGTAAAAATTGTGTTGATTCTAATACCTATGACGGTTCTGATGGTCTTGAAACATTCAGTCTTATTTGGCTTGATACAAAGAATTATCTCGACGAAAACCACAATTTACAACAAAGCTTACGTGGAATCATCAATTATATGAAGCTATTTAACGACGTAACAGGGTGTGTACAATATATAGAACACAAAAGTGCATACGAGCGATTATTCATCATGGCGAGCAAAGAATACGCTCAACAAATAGTACCTTCGATTCATAGATTTCGGCAGGTAATAGCAATCTATATTTACACAATCAGCGAGAAGAATGATGAACAATACTTTCAGCAGTTCTATAAAGTAGGTCTATTTCGATCAGTTTTACTATAGTACCATTAACTTAGGTGAGAGCCATAGTCAGTGAACCGGAGGACTTGATCTCTACAATCCAAGAAGATTATAAAAAGCAGTCGAAAATCCATGAACCATTCGTGTTCAACATATTGAATGGACTTAACGATTCAGGCAAGACTACGACAAAAATTGACGGTGAATTTATTTTCCATCAGTCACTGATTGATTGTCTTCTTCGATTAAAATATAATGAAGATGACAGAAATGAACTCATTTCTTGTCTTGAAGAAGAATACAGCGACAATGCGACCGAACTTGGCAAAATACTTGAATTTAAAGAGAATTACAAACCAGATAAAGCTTTATGGTGGTACACTCGCGATTCGTTTTTATACCGAACTCTGAATACAGCGTTACGCAAACAAAATATTCACATGCTTTACTTGTATCGTTCAGTATTGGTCGACATACATCAACAGCTGAAGCAGTATCAATGTCATGAAATTGTAGAAGTTTATCGTAGTCAAGTGATGTCTAAGATTGAGATAGCATCTCTGAAATGCAACGTTTCTCAATTTATTTCTCTGAATTCATTTCTTTCCACGACCAAGCAACCCCAAGTGGCTGATTTCTATACAGCTGGTAGAAACCAGCCGACAGATTTGGAAAGCGTTCTGTTTCAGATCAAAGCCAATCCAACGGTTGTCTCAACGAAGTCATTCGCTCATATAGAAGCTGTTAGTCAGTTTCCTGAAGAAGATGAAATACTCTTCATGCTCGGTTCCATCTTCTATCTTGAATCAATTGAAAAAAAAGGCAATCAACGGTGGATCATTAAAATGACATTGTGTAGGGAGGACGAAAACGAGTTGAAACCAGTTCTCGAAGATATGAAGAAAGAAAACGGAACTGGAGAGACGAGTCTATGGACATTAGCAAAATTAGTTTCGGTGATGGGAGAATTTGATCTCGCTGAACAGTACTACAAACGTTTGCTACCGGAAATTTTATCCAGTAATGATCCATCACTTCGTAATGTGTATGCTGATCTTGCTGTGATTGCATCACAGAAAAAAAAATATAGTGAAAGTATGAAATGGCGTATAAAATCAACGAAACTCAAACAAGCAGTTCCAGAATTCGATAGCATCGCGAGCGGTGAGACAATCAAAATATTTATGTACTTTATTGAGGTTGATTAGTTCGCATATCTCAGCTTCCCAGTGAAAAATATTTTGACAAACAGGAGCAGGACGAATTCAAGAAAATCTGGAAACCTGTTTAGCTACGTAAAGAATGGTTTCCTTTAAGAAGTGAATGGTCTCGTGTTCAAGAGGAAACATTCCGAGTCCGAAAAAATCATTCTTTACCATTAGACAATAATACTGGATGGTTTCCGTGCTATTGAGAGATCGTTCTCTATCTGAAGAGAAAGCATTCCAAACCATTCTTAAAACAGTAAGAACTATTCCAATGCATTCTCTTATGAAACAGTATAGATAGCATTTTGTCAAAATTAGATCGTTTTCTTTCACGCTCTTTAAAAAAGTACTGAAATGATGAATTCTTCTAAGCGATGAACATTATTTGAGGGTAAAACTACATTTCGGTTCAAAAATCAAAGATCTGAAGTAAGGCAGTTTGAAACTGATGTGAAAAATGGTGGAATCTTCAATTAGTTATACTTTAGGGATGCTTGATGCAGTTTGAAAAATATATGATTTTGGTAACGGTTCGAGTTACAATCATTTCAAGCATGTCATTAGATAGAGTTCGTTGAGTCACCTCAGAAATCATTTTCTCACGAATGATAGATACATCCTCTAGTGTTCAGTTGTGTGGTCGAGAGAGCTAACTATTTTGGGAGAGAGAACGCATTCTGGAAGTGACGGAACGCGTTTTTGACTGTTTCAATTTGGAACGACTAAGAACGCGTTTCAGAAGTAATAGAATGCATTCTAAATAGTCCTGTTTTGGAACGCTTTTCATTTTATTCAGAACGTTTTCTTTTCTTAAAAAAATGGCTTTGATGTTTTGAAATGTATTATTCACCATTATTTTTTTGGAAAATTGTCATCTAGGTTGTTGTTAGATCAGTATGAAAAGAATTTCTTTTTTTCTGAAATAGTCTGATAATATGGAATTAGAAATTTGTGAAAATTGTGTTTTCGGTTTTCATTTTTAGGTATATTACATGACTACATCCCAATTGTCAACAGTGACCTGGAACTACAAGAAAGTATTGGTGTCGGAACCTTTGGTACAGTGTACAGAGCTACATGGAAAAGTAAACATTATACAGTTGCTGTTAAAAGACTGAATCTTACACATTTAAATGACAAAGCGGAGAAAATTTTTTTTAAAGAGCTTTCATTATTGAACAATATTCGTTTTCCTAATATTATTAGCTGTTATGGTGCATGTACGGAAATCGGAAACTATGCATTGGTTATAGAATATATGGCGCTAGGATCATTGCACAAGATATTACATGAAGACAAAAAAACATTGAACTGGCCCGAAAAATTATCTATTGCTTTTCAAATGGCTAGCGGAATCAATTATTTGCATACACAGAATAATCCTATTTTACACGGTGATATAAAATCATCGAATTGCTTGATTCAAAGAGCTCACGGTGGGTACATGGCTAAGTTGTGTGATTTTGGTTTAGCTAAAACAAAAAAAGAAATGATGCGTCAAACAGTATCAAAATCTGCATTCGCTGGCACACTGCAGTGGGCTGCTCCTGAAATACTTCGTGCCGAGCGCTACACGTTGAAAGTTGATATATACAGTCTGGGTATAGTTTACTGGGAACTTGCTGCGACCAAGAGACCTTATGACGATTTCGAAGAACTGGCAATACGACCATATGTGCTCGCTAATGAACGACTGGAAATACCAGATAGTACGCCATCCAAATTCAAAATGCTTATCGATGAATGCTGGTCACCACATCCAGACACCCGACCCGAAAGTTCAGAACTTGTCAAAATACTTGAAAGCATTTTACCACAGGGTAATTATCTAGTAGCGTCTGTTCCATTCAACGAAAAAGTATTAAATAAAATACCACGCAATGATGATTCATCATCTCCTGCATAGTTAGCTCATATTTTGATCGACTTTGCAAATAGTGTATCACATACTGGTTTTAAACTGGGTTAGAAATTCTTTTCTATAAGAAGTTTTCTTTCGTTGATATTCCAGATGTATTATAATTTCCATATCGAGAAAAATAACTGAGTACTATTGAATGTATATGCATCCTTATAGGTTTTGTCTGATTTCATTAGAAAAACTAAGCAACAATAACAATGCTTTAATGTTTTAGATGCCTCTCGAACAATAGATGACGAAACCGACATAGATGATGTGAGTCAAACTACATATTCAATATTGTATTTATATCGATGTTTATATACTTTTCTGGATAGAATCCAAAAAGGTCGTTGATACCAACACAACATACTTTTCAAATTTGTTCACGGAATCAACAACAAACAAGGCGCTTTCGATTAGTGTTCTTGGGATTCATTTTTCTTCTAGCTACTACTATTGGCATTACAATCCATCTTGTGACTAAATCTACCAATAAATCAAATGTGTCTTCTACCGTTGTTATAACCACTCAAACGCCAAATACTCATGTCCCAATTACTGAAAAGTCAAAAATGTCCACTTCGAAAGCCTCAACCTTGAGGAGTAAGCAATACATGTGAATAAAATTCATTCAAGAGTGATTCAGATATTTTAAAAGATTTTTTCTGAAAATACATTCCACTAATTCATGTCTAGTGTAGTGTAGCTGCCATAAAAATGATCTATTCAAAATAACTTATCTGAAAGATATGCCTAAAATTTTGTAAAAATTCTTATGTTCTATTCCTTTATATGAACTATGTCGAATTATATTTTTACTCTATTGTATGCTTATAGCTTCCTTGCGACCTAATGTTACTCTTCGTTGGAATTTGACCGGCATTACTGTAGCCGGTACCATGGGAGTCTGTGGACAAACTGCTGCTTATCTTTGTAGTCCTCATGGCTTGTCATTCGATCCCTTGTCAAACGCTCTGTATATAGCTGATAATAGCAACCATCGGATTCAAAAATGGGTGTTGGGTGCGACCTATGGGACCACTGTAGCTGGGAACGGAACGCGCGGCAGTAGTCCTAATCAGTTATCATATCCTACCCATGCCATCGTCGATGCGGATGGCAATGTTTACGTATCAGACGTCATGAATCACCGCATTCAACTTTGGCCAAATGGCGCATCTTCAGGCGTCACGTTCGCTGGACCTGGTAAGAGAAATTCTGCAAAATACAATTTATCGTAGATGTGAATTTAGATTTTCCGGGATCAAGCGACACTCTTCTTCTTAATCCGCTATACATCACTCGTGATTCTAACAGTGGAGCTTTGTATGTGACTGCGGGTGACCGCGTAATTCGCTGGCTACCAAACGACACAAAAGGCACGATTGTCGCCGGTGGTAACGGTCCGGGTACAACCCCAACACAGTTGTACAGCGCCTCTGGGCTCTATTTCGATTCACCTTCGAATAGTCTCTATATAGGTGACTCATATGCACATATAATTGTTCGTTGGCCATTGGGTGCATCCACTTGGACGTTGGTGGCAGGTGCCCTTACTGGTATGTGCGGATACCCACCGGCAGGACTCTGTATGCCTAGTGCCATAACACTTGACCCAATGGATAATTTATATGTTGCTGATGGTAATGGACGCATACAATTATTTTTAGCTGGCTCCAATAGTGGAACAGTCATCGCAATGCCGAGCTTTTCATATGGGATTGCATTGGATAATGAACTAAATCTGTATGCGACCGAACAGTACAAGCATCGAGTAGTGAAATTCGCGCGATTATGAGCATAGTCTACCATGAGTTTGAATATCAGTAGGTTGTTCCGGAAGAGTGATGATCTGTGTTTCGTCATTATCATTCATTGTAGAAGATGCGTGTCGTAGTTATCATGCGTACACCATTGAGAAAGATTTATTGCTGAAGTTATGATATCAACTACATCCGTTGCTATCTGATTTAGGTCTTATACGATAGCCTGTGAAATCGTTTCATTATTCTAATTTTTATCTGTAGGAGTATAATTCGCTTGTCTAAAACATCTGTCCACAATAAACTGTGCCGATTTGCTTGACTAGTAATAGAATAATACTCGTGATTGAATTGATAAAACATGAACATGCAATAAACACACTGATATTCCTCCTAAATTGTTAGTTGAAACAAAGTATCAAGCGCAGTTCGTAAATGCTCGTTGATGGACAAGAATGATACTCAATCATGATAATATTGCCAGTTGAAGAATAGCATTGTATTCTGTTGTGAAAAGACTTCTCAACTATTATGTCAAAATTACAAACAAATGTCGAAGTTCAATTTTGTAGAAGATCATATGATGAGAAGGCATTGAACGTCTACATAATATTATTCTGACTCCTGTTTTCACTGGTTCTAATTGAAGACTTACAACCACCACTCTTCTGAAGGAAAAAATTTCAGCGTGATTGATACCAGTGTGTGATGCCAGACTGTCACAGGGAAGGGCTAAAAGCGTCACTCTGCCCTGTCCTGCTATTTCTTTGCATAAAGAGTTAGTGATGAAAAGTTTTTGCGAAACTCTATTGATAAAATGAGAGAGAGAACTATATATCTTTTTCAATTGATTTGTATTGTTTTAACAATTAAACATGGTCACTATAATGTGATATATATCTCATCATTGAATCATACACAATCTATTTACTAATATTTACAAGTAACGTTCGTCGGTTCGACTCACTTGACCCTCGACTGTTTAAGGCAAGTACATTGTGCATGTGAGTATCGAAAGAATTGGTCTACTAGCCTCGTCACCATAACTGACTCAGACTTTGATTTCTTGAATGGTACAAGTCGAAGAAGGGTGTGGGTGTGGATGGGTGTAGCTGTGGCCATGGCTGTAACTGTGGCTGTGGCTGTAACTGTGGCTGTGGCTGTAACTGTGGCTGTGGCTGTAACTGTGGCTGTGGCTGTAACTGTGGCTGTGGCTGTTGATCTTGTGCTTACTCACACCCACACGCACCCACACCGCACACCCACAACCGTACCCACACGCACACCCTCAAAATATATAGTTTTGTATAGCTCGTCGAGCTCTATCGAATCAGGTAAAAATATCTAAGTAAAATGCTTTATTTCGTATTTGAATTACTGGCACCATACTTTTCTACACCAAAAAAGGTATCAAATTTCTGAAATCTCGGAACTTCGATATTAGAAGGTCTTTATAAACCTTTACTGTTTAGTACCAATAAATGCAGTTTTTTACGGGCTTCAATTTGGTATAAAATATTTAGTGAAATCATTTTACCTTAAGGTCGAACCAGGGGGAGAAAAAGGTTTTGCAACACCCTTTAGTTACTGTAAGAATCAAAGCAACAATGCCAATAATTATTGCCACAAAAATCTCCATTAAAGAATGCATCGTGAAATTCTTGTTCACAACATGATTACTTGTGTTTGTGGCAGAAGAGAGTACGAGAGAACAAATCGAAATTCCAATACCAATAAAATACAAAACTATTCCAATTATAATAAGCCAAGCAAACTAGAAATTTATAATAGATATACATTTTTTTTTTAATTTAAAACTTTTTTCGATAAACTATTCATTTATTATTTTATTTTAGCTTTTTTTTCAGGAAATCTTCAAAATCAATGACTATTTATTTGACCGATTATTCCAATAGAAATTTTTTTTTGTGAAGTACGTTTCTCATGAGGTTAGATATATAAATCCGAATTAGTTTGTTTACTAAACAAATGAAAAAATATTCAAAGATCTATCAGAAGGTATTATTCAGACATAATTTTATTATTAATTGGCTGTTTATGTCAAATGAGATTTAAATTAATGTCAGATATTATTTTAACTAGATTGTCTATAGTTCAACCATTTCAATAAGTTTTTTTAATAAATATTAATTACATCGATTTATCTCAATTAAATAAAATAGAATAATTTTTAGCTGTTATTTTATTCGATTAGTAAAACTAAAATACTTCAAAAGTATTTCTTCTACAAAGATTCATCAAAATAAATTATTTAATTCTTCTACTTGTTTCTGAAAATAGACTTTATTGAAGTTTTCTGCGAACAAATTTTTAGCAAAGAAATCTTTTGTTTTTAAATTAGAACAAAATGATTTTACCTGAAATAAATATAATAAGAATAGTATAACTATTAAAAGTAAAAAAAAACAATTACCACTCGTAAACCGGTTACATAATATCGATAAGCGACGAATATTCCAAATCCATAGAAAATCATTGCTGTAAGAGATTCACCAACTTGTGCAGCAGGTTTAGTTGCTTGCATACGATTATGAATTCCATTTCCAGATATAGCATTTATTATTCCGACTACACAAAAGACCTTAAATATTATACAAATATTGCAAGATTCCTTTAAACATGGATCGTTTCATTTTCTCTAGATAAATATTGAAAATATTCCTAGGAATATAAAATGTTTTTAAACAATGAATATTAAAACTTATTTTTTTATTTCTATTGGAGAAGTTCATTTTCATCAGCATATCCATGGATAGAAGTAAAATTTCATTAGTGCAAATAGATCTTTTCTTTCTATGACATATTATTTCAAAATTCAAAGTAAGAATAATTTTATTTTTATTAAATAGGATGCATATTGATCATTATTAGTCTTGTATAATGCTCATTGTTTTAGTAATAGGTTTTTTTCTAATCTTTCACTGTAGAGTAGATGAAAACAGATAAGTAAAGAGAATCAATGTAAGAACAAGAAAAGTACTTAAAAATTAAGGAGAAAGTCCAACGTTACAAAAGTGATAAAATATTAATTTCTTTTTCATAGTGATATCAAATATATTGGATACTGCAGAAGTTCCTGGACTAAATGTTAACTTCTTCTATTTGAACAGAAGATGATAGAAAAATAATTATTTTCTTTTTAATTTTAGATAAAATTTGATTTCTACTTTGCAAGAATATATTTGACAGATTCTAGTAGTAATATTTATTTAAATATTATAAATCCCGTAAAAAGTAAATCAAGATATGTGCTTGTAAACTAAAATAACTTCTATACTATATGATTGCTTAACAATCAGAGATCCGCGTGGAATTGGATAGGACATGAAAACTTTCGTCTCATCCCATGGGGACACTTGTAATGTCAGTTACATTTTAAGAGGTCGAATTTGTTTAACTATCATCACTCCACACATATTTTTGTACAGCTCTATCTGATGTTAATTGCAGGGACGCACTCAAAGTGAGTTCCAAGGATGTCTAGGTATCTTCTTTCACCGATAAATATTTTTGTAGGGACTTAGATAAAAAAAAAACTTTTCGAGAAAGAAAAATTAATTTAGCTGATGGTTTGTACCTCCCATAGTCAGTTGGGTACCTTCTTAGAAAATTCTAGGATACACTAACTGATAATTTGTGATATCATTTAAAATTTAGCACAAATTTTTCCTGATGGTTTTGTTGTTGGTTTTACTACTAATGTTGTATTAACTTTTTATAGCATAGAACCGAATTTTAGAAATAGTCCAAAACATATATATATATATATATATACAAACATCTGCACATGCTATACGCCTTTATATGATTTGAAAGTTAGCACAGATAATTGCAGTATTGGATCAGTTATTGAGCCTTAATTTTAAACTATATTGGTCACACAGTTTAGTACGACTGCACATTTCAGAGAAGAATAGGTTCACATCATATTTCTTCGTCCCATGGAACGATGGGATCCGACGGAAGTCAACAAATTTTCGTCTTATCTCACGCGGAGCTCTGTTAACAATCACCAACAGAAAATTTTAGTTTAAGAAAATTTACCATTATCAAGAATCACATTTTTAAAATTATGTTGCAAAACTTTCTATAAAATTTTTCCAATATCAAATATCTAATTAACATAGAACAAAGAGTTTAGTACTAATTTTCCTGATATTATTTGTAAAAATAAATACTTAAAATAATAAGAGTTTCAAAACTATAAAACTACTTTTTTTTTCTTTCAATAGAGGATACAAGTTTTTAACAGTTTTAGAAAAATCAAATGATTTTATTAATGTTTATATGAATAGAAGTTTTTTGAAACCTGTCGTTTATCACCCTCTATCTAACAAAAAAAGAGTTAGCTTCTTACTTTCTGTTTACATAGAATAGTCTAACAGTTTTTCAAGTACTTTTGCAACACCGATGATGTTACACTATATTGTATATGAATTAGAAATGTCAAACAATCTATTAAAGTTATTATTATCTCTACTAGCTGCATCGAATGTTGTCAAAGTCTATTGAAATACAATTGATTACTGTTCATCATCATTAATTACGTTCACCTATTTTGTTACAATTTAGTTCCTTTCTATCTAAGATAGTTATATTTACTAATTTCGTATGCCTCATTTTTTTTTCGATAAGAACAAAATAAAATTCTGCTCACTATTATACATGCACCTATTAACACTGAAAAAATTGATTCCAATGAATTTTTTCAATGTGCACTGCACTTTTCTATAAAAAGAAGAAGAATGAGTGGCTATCCAAGCAGACAAACTTCGGGAAAACAAATAGAAATTATCATAAAATCAGTAAGAAGTGGGATATATTTACCTCACGGTTGACTTTCTCAACTGTAAACCAGAAACGTTCATTTTTCGCGTTTATTGCGTGTTAAAATCCTTTTTCTCAACTTGCGCAGGATTCTTCAAACAAGATTATTCCATTTTTTTATTCGTTGTTTAGTATTCTCAATATTTTTCTTTTCAAAGATTTCAAGGAAAAAACTATTTATTTTTAA